AAATGACTACCGATTTTCTACCGAAAAGTGTCGAGCTTATCTACCGAAACTCGATTTTCGGACCTGGCAACCCTGGATCTGTGATTTTTAGTAGATCCAGAGACGTCTCTGGTAGATCGCCTAACCTCAAATCCGCCAGGGGTTTGTTTACTTTGGGGGAATCTTTTCAATGTCTCCTGTCTTGGAGCCTCAATGAGTTACAGTCTGAGCGGCTGTAGGTTTGTTATCTGGAGTGGGCTGTATGTTCTAGAAAAACTCCGGCCTCTCGTAATGGAGAACTTAGTGTAAGCGCCCCTTCGGTGTCGCGTGGATGCTAATCTGAAGCGTTTGCCCCGCTGTTTCAGGCCTTCACAGGTCACCAAGCTGCTGAACAGATTGACGGATGCCGAACGCCAAGCGAAGCTTTTGCAGACGGAAATTCAGGACATTCGGACCCAAATTGCTGCTCTAACGCATTCCACCAAAAGCATTCTCGCAAATAAAGCTTCAACTGTGCTTTTGAGGTAGGAGGGTTTTCACTCTGTTGTCTATTTACCATTGGGTCGTTCATGTGGAGGGAATTGAAAAAAAAACGTAATTATTTAGTCTACTACATGAGAAATACCTGCAATATGCCTTTTATAAGCAAGTTGGTGGTACAAAATCAACCGAGTGCCCGGAGGGCTCGGCCCAACATTTACATTAGAGCCTAATGAATGTCTCAATAGAATTTGATGTATTTATTGTGCACGCCCTTCGGGCACAACTATGCTAGTGATTCAACCACACTAGTGGGTTTCATAGCGAAGCAGTGACATCTAAAAGACCTCGGGAAGAGCCCCATTCGATTACTGCGAGCCAGGCAAAGCGGCCCAGAGACGCACCACCCATAGAAGATGGGTATGTGGTGGTTTATACGGACGGGGCCTGTGAAAACAACGGCAAGCCAAACGCCAAGGCCGGAGTCGGCGCGTGGTTCAGCGACGGAAACCCCATGTAGGCAAACCCCGAGGGCGTATTGAAGAAAAGCCACTAAAAACTCACCGTTTCCAGGAACATTTCCGAGCCGGTTGTGGGCCGACCGACCAACAACACGGCCGAGATTCAGGCGCCGATAGAAGCCCTCAAGCTGCTCAAATCCCAGGGTACTGGCCCGCGTTCACTCAACCAACTTGCGCTAAGTTTCTTCATCCGCAGGTTTCAAGAAGGTGAAAATATTCACCGATTCACAGTTCACCATCAATTGCATCACCAAGTGGATCCACAAATGGAAGAAGAACCAGTGGAAACTGGCCAATGGCGGACCGGTGAAGAACAAGGAGGACTTGGTGCAGCTGGACGCGCTTTGCCAGCAGTTTCTGGACATTAAATGGGTAAAAACAAGAGTGTTAGTATGGATGTGCAAGTGGGAATAGTGCTGTTTTGTTTGAAGGAGTACTGTGCAGGCCATAAGGGGATCAAGGGGAATGAAGAGGCGGATAGACTGGCGCGAGAAGGAGCTCTGAGGTATAGGCCGTCTTAATAAACTTAGTAAAATTAGTTCCTACAAGTAGCTTTATTGTTGTGTGTGCCTGCAGTGTCTATTTGCACTAAAACTTCTGATCAGAGACTAAATGCGCATAAATAAACAGAAATCAATTGTTAGCTTGGGATGAACTACAGTGGTTCAAACACACCTGGCCGCCTCTTGCAGTTCGATCTGAATATTCCTATTTTATACAAAGACCCCCGATTTGGCCCATTCCAGTCCTTTGTGGGCCGGTTCTCATCCGAAACAGAATATATTTTTTTAAAACGAGCAACAGACTTATTTACAGATAAACCGTCTTCACGTCACAACACCCTCGAACTGCACAGTGATCACCATACACCTTTGTCAGTACCTCTTCTGATTGGCAGGCGGTGGCCGGTTGCCGCTCCAATCGCGCCCCTCCTTGTGATGGTGATGGTGATGATGGTGCCGCTTCTTCTCGCCCTTGGCGCCGTCGCTGACGACGATTTCGGCGCTGTCTCGATGCCGTTCGGTGGCTTCACGCGCCCTGTAGGGCTCGTCCATCGTTTCCTTGCGGCGCAAGGGCGAGTGGCCCGATTTAGAGCCGGCCGATTCGTGCAGGTTCTCCCAGGCCTGTCGGTAGTACCGATTCAGGCCTCCGCTTCGCGACTCTGAGCTGGACGAGTCGAAGGAGGCCACTGTGTTGCAATCGGGCGAGGCTCGGTGACGGTAGTGTTTGGCACTTTGATTCCTGCAGAAGAAACACGTGAGTCTCACTTTCTTCAACCCGTTCTTACCTCCAAAGTGGTGCTTGGGTTCAAAGTGCCCGAAAAGCCTCTTAGAATTAGAGCATGCAGTGCGGGTGCCGAAGAGAGGAGGGTTAGAGCACAAATCTTTCCTGCCATGCATGGACGAACTTCGTTTGCAATCGCCCCATTGGGGACTAGTTCGAGGGCATGAAAGAGGGTCGCAGGGCACGGCTTGTTGCAAACCAAGTTCCACTGATCGTGAACAGAGTGCCCCCCAAAAAATGGCTTACGTGATAGGAATGGCACTAAGTCACATCGGATTACTGAAATACCCGGCTCGATGCGATCTGTAACTGCGGCTGAACTCTCGCCGCCCGATCTGCTGATCGGGAAACGGGAGAGCCAGCAGGGTGTACCATCTGGAGGGCATCGCGCTTGGAGAGGGGAGTCGGTGTGAGGATCTCTTCGCCGCACCCGCACTGCTCGGAAAAAACAACACTGGTGACTGGTGAGTTAGTCTAGGGTGAGGTTCTCTATCTTGTCCACCCGGCTGGAGCCACCTGGCGGCTCCAGACTTACCCGAGGAAGGCCCGCTTACCTTCTAACCAAGATCACCACGGTGGTGATGACGGCTGCTAGGAAAATAAAGGCGCCGAAGGTGCCCAGCGCGATGATGGACCCCACGTTCAACCGAGCACCAAACGGCTCTTGCCTGTCTCCGTCCACTGGAAGTGGTACGTTGACGTTCGGTCCTCCACCATGCTGCACGTTATTTGCGCTACCTAGACAAAAATTTGATTCAACTAACAGTCACCTTCAGAACCCCATTTGACTTACTGGCAATTTCGTTGTCCTGCGGATGGGCTGCGACGATGATATTCGGCTTAGTAGAGCTTGTTTGCGGTCTCCTGCTTCTGGTGGTCTGACGGGTGCCATCATTGGCCGCCCTGATGGTGGTGGGCGGCGGCTTGGGCGTCCTGGTTCTCCCCCTCGTGGTCAAGGTGGTGATAATCGACGTGGGCAACGACGACTGTGTCACTTGCTGCGTGGTAGGCGCCGGGGTGACCGTGGGATCGTCTGCAACTGCAGAAAACTCGTAAAAATGCCGCCCTATCGGGGCTTTGCAAGGCGCACCTTTGCAGGTGGGCGGCAGAGAGTCGTACTGTCCATTGGCCATGCAGGTGATCCTGTCGGCTCCTACCAACACGAACCCTGGCAGGCACTGATAGGCCACCACTGAACCAAACACTGTGTCGTTGCTTGGCACCTCCAAAAGACCGTTGGGGATTTCCAGGGGAGGCTCGCATTGGACGGCTGCAGATCACTGGGTGAAGTAAACGGGCAAACAAACACGCGCTGGGGCGACTTACGTTCGCAGCGTGGGGGCGGCCCGTTCCAGCGCTCGTCAATATCGCAGGCCAGTTGCGCTCGCCCAATCATCTCGTACCCCTTGAAGCAGCTGTACACCACTCTGCTCAGATAACCCACTGAGTCGTTCACTAGCGCGTACTCGCCGTTGGGAATATCTGCTGGGTAACCGCACTGGATGCCTGAATAAAAAACGGGCACGTCTGGGTGTGTTAACTTGCAAAAGTGTTACCCAGATAGCATTTGATATTCTATGGATATCCCAGAATGTTCAAAAAATATACAGAACATTGCGGGAATATACATGGTTGTACATACATCCTAACATGAATGTTCGTGGAGTATA